CTCCTCTCGCTTCTTAAAACAAGTGTTGACAATCTTAAGATCGTATGCAAGAAAAAAATCAAGAATAGATTGTCCTCCACTATTAAGCTTCCCAAAACCAAAACCACCATGTGCCCCGCTGAATTGTCCTGCTTCCTTACCAACATGTCCAATTAAGGTCCCCACTGATAAAATTTTTTTCTTTGAGTGGTATGCTTTAAACCAAGCCTTTCATATCTTCCCAAAACTTATCTTTAAGGTGTGTCTCTGCCCCAACCTAAGGTGCATAGGCACTAATGATATTGATAGTATCCTTTCCAACAATTACTCTTAACGATATTATTCTATCATCAAACCTTTTAACCTCTACCACGTTTTTTTTCCAAGTCCCATCAGCGATGATACCAACCCCATTCCTTGCGCTCACCTTTCCTGTGTACCACAGTTTATACTCTCCAAGTTCCTTGGCAGCTTCTCCAGTCCATTTGGTTTCTTGGAGGCATAAGATATTAATCCTTCTGTCTCTCATAACTCCTGCTACTTCCATAGATTTCTCATTTAACATCCCAATATTCCAAGTGTCAAATCTAATCTCAGTCTCATGAACTAACTTCTTTAGCCGCCTCCGTCCAAGAGAGTGCGGTAGCCCTTGCTCATTTAACACTACATCCGGACGACGATGCAGCGGCTCTAGCTCATTTCTCACTGTACTCGAGCCATACAGCGCGTCACTTCTGGGCAACGACCTAGCATTAGCATAATTATTTCGTTGATCCATGTTCATGAGATTCGACGGGTTTTTACATTGGCTGTCGAGAGCCTAACACAACCCTCCTCCTTTATCCGGGCTTGGAACCGGCTATACACTATAGGCGGAGTTTATACTCTCCAAGTTCAAGCTTCAGAAATGGTCTCAATTTTCCCACATTTTAAAGCAATCTCAAATGAAGCACCATATGATGAAATGATCATCAAATAAGCTACATATGCAATTAAGAATTATCACAAGCCATGCAGGAATTATTAAGGACATTTTACATGTCAAATTCAAGCCAATGAATCCATCTCAATTTACCCACATTACTAAATAGGCATCGAAATCAAGCATCAAATGATGCAATGATCAACAATCTTCGCAAGTGCACAGGCACAAGAAATTGGCCAAAGTAAAAATAAAAACATATGTGTAAGGGTTCTACAAAGCAGTAAAAGACAGAGTTTTAGTTGAAGAGCAAAAGTCAACCCCCATAGTTATATTTATGCTAAAAAAGATTACACATCAAATGATACCGACATCACTGAGCCACGTAGAAGGGCAATACAAATTCAAATACCAAAGCAATGAACTGTTGTTATTTAAATAAGCCATACATGCAATTTCTAAGGATCACAAGGTAAACAAGAATAATCAAGGCAACTTTGCACAACAAATTCAAGTCTTGGAATTAGTCCTAATTTTCCCACATTTGAATACAAGAATCCAAATGAAGCATCAAATAATGAAATGATCATCAAATAAGCCAATATGCAATTCCAAAGAATCACAAGGCATGAGGGAATGATTGGCAAAGTTTTGCATGTCAAGTTCAAGCTAAATCAATCTCAATTTTTCCACACAAGTAAATAGCATTGAAATCAAGCATCAAATGATACAATAATTATCAATCCTTGCAAGTACAAAAACACAAGAAATTTGCCAAAGAAAAAATATACCCCATATAAATATCGGGTTTATAAAGGAACAAAGAGATGAAGAGTGTAAGTAAAAGTGCAAAAGTATAACCACATAATGATATTTATACACGCTAAAATCAGGCATCAAATAAAACAAACTTCACTGAGCCTCGTAGGAGCACATTACATTAAAGTTCAAATATGAAATCGAGGACATCTTTTTATTTCAAAAAACTGTCACTTCTTCGGTAAGTCATATGCAATTTTGAAGGATCACAAGGAATGAAAGAAAATTCAATTTTGCATATCAATTTCAAACCTCAGAATCAATCTTTATTTTCCCATATTTGTAAACAACCGTCCAAATACAGCATCAGAAGATGCAACGATCATCAAATAAGCCCCATATCCCATTTCAAAGGATCACAGGCATGTAAGAATAATTAAGGCAGCTTTGCATGTCAAGTTTAAGCCTCTAAAACAATCTCAATTTTCCCCCCTTAGCATCAAATGACGCACTGATCATCAAACATCACAAGTGCACAACCATGGAAAAGTTCGCCAAGGGAGAAATACAAACTATATGTAAGGAGTCTATAAAGCAGCAAAACCATGGTGAGTCTAAGCTGAAGAGCAAAGATAGACCCCCCATAGTTATACTTATGCACATTAGGATTAAGTATCACCTGATATAGACTTCATTGAGCCTCGTAAGAGTGCATTACATTACAAGTTCAAATACCAAACCAAGGACATCTTTTTATTTAAAGAAACTATCATTTTTTTTAATTAAGCCACATATGCAATTTCAAAGGAGGCACGGAAGAAAACACAAGATACCTTTGCATGTCAAGTTCAAGCCTTAGAATGAATCTTAATTTTCCCACATTTGTTTTCCTAGAATCCAAATGAAGTAATAAATGATGCCATGATCATCAAATAAGCTGCAAGCAATTTCAAATATCACAGGGCATGCAATAATCATTGAGGAAGTTTTGCATGCCAAGTTCAAGCCACTTAATACATCTCAATTATCCTGCACTAGTAAATAGGCATCAAAATCGAGAATCAAATGATGCTTTGATCATCAATCTTTGCCCATCCACAAACATGAGAAATTCTCCACAGGAAAAACATACAGCATACATATATGGGGTCAATAAAGCAGCTGAGACACAGAGAGTCTAAGTTGAAGAGAAAAAATATGCCCCAACAATTATATTTATGCACATTAAGATTAGGCATCAAATGACACAAATTTCATTGAGCCTCGTAGGAGTGCATTACATATACAAGTTCAAATACCAAAGCATCGGCATCTTTTTGGTTTAGAAAACTCATCTTTTTTCAATGAGACATGCAATTTTGAAGGATCACAGGGCAAGCAAGAATGAATAAGATAGATTTGCACGTGAAGTTCAAGTATCAGAATCAATATCAATTTTCCAGCATGGACATTGAAAAGAAGCGTCAAATGATGCAATGAACACCAAATAAGTCACATATGCAATTTTGAAAGGTCACAACACATGCAAGAATGATTAAGGAAGTTTTGCGTTTCACATTCAAGCCTTTGGATCAATATCAATTTTCCCATCTTACTAAATAGGCACAAAATCAAGCATCAAATGATGCAATGATTATCAACCCTTGCAAGTGCATAATCATGAGAAATTCACCAAAGGAGAAATATACTTCATATATGTAGGGTTCTATAAAGCACCAAAAATATGGGAGTCTAAGCTAAAGAGCAAAAGTAGACACTAATAATGATATTTATGCACATCAGGCATCAAATAATACAAACTTTAGCCTCATAGGAATCTATTACAAATACAAGTTTAAAATACCAAAGCAAAGACATCTTTTTATTTCAAAAAAACTCATTTTTTAGATAAGTCACGTGCAACTTCATATACTCACTAACATAGATTTCCCAAATACTACTTAGCGGAATATAAACAAAAAATGAAAGTGATATTTATCCTACTGCAGGTTCATAGCGGCTTATAGATCGTTTGTTAACCCAGACATTAAAAGCTTGACTAAAACAAGCATCCTTATGACATCCTTTATGCCATGACCCAAAATATTAAAGAGATAATAGCAAGGGAAAAAAAATAGGACATCGCTTAAAAGGTGGTCATGCATTTTAATCCATCCAAATTCAATCTTATCTGCTAACCATATTGAATTTAATGTTGATGACTAGATGCTACTAGTATCAATCAATTCCGTCATTGTTATTCTCTTAAATTGCTATGATACTAATGAAGTTCCTCCTCTCAAAAGACATTGGCTTCATAGCATGACAATCAAAAGTTGGTAATATATCGAACAACAAGGTAGATGTTGGGTTCATTTCATGTAACATCTAAAGAATGTTAGTTCCATTGTGATTATTCCCTTTTAAAAATGAAAAAGAACATATCATATTTCAGTCATCAACATCCCAAAAGTAATCGCTCAAAACAAATTTAGCTGCAAAATACTTTTTAAGTAGGACAACATAGAGCATTAAGACAGCTAGCACTGACTTGGTGGTGGAAGGTAACCTCGTCCAGAGGATGTTTTAACTAAGTTTTTTAAGAACAAAAAGCCCCATTAAGAAGAATTTTCATTCACAATTCAAAAAAGTTTTTGCTATGCTAACCTCAAAATACCAAGTCCTAAGAATCTTAGACAAATTATTATCTAGCATCAAACATACCTCACATCATCAAAAGAGAGTCGCTGAGGCAACTATCCATTCTTTGAACTTAACAGAACACGTGTGAAAGGAGAAATTCTGCATCTAAGCTATCCTGTAATGTTTCCATTTGAAGCTGACAACACATGCGTCCAATAGGCAGGACATCAAAAGGAAAAAAACCAAAAACATTGCTACAAATAATCCAGAGAACTCAGTCACAAGTCAAAGTCTGCCTCATACATGAGAAGGAAAGCATCAACAACAATAACAACAATAAGCCTTATTCTTTATTCTATTAAGTGGGATTAGCTATATAAATCACATGATGCAATTATACTCCATTCGGAACCAATTCTTATGTACTAGTCACCAATGGATCTCAATTGATAACTTCCTTAACTATCCTTGGTCTCTCTCAATATCTCTGTAACTTCCTTTATTGATAACTTTCTTGTCACACTTTAATAAAAGTGATGGTTTCATTATTCTTAATGGTTCACATGATAAAGAAAGCATCACTTTTCCTAAAATTTCATGAGATATTTTAGAGTGCAAATGACTAAATTTGGTAATCCATAGTGACAAAGTTACCCAACAAACCTTTGCATTTTTTCCAACTTCAAGCTACAACAAAATCACACAACAAAAATCATAGTTTCACAATGAAGTACGAAACCAATGGGCTTGAGCAAATAAGAACCAAAGAAAGCAACACCAATGCATGAGTTTTTACGCAACATTCTCATAAAAGAGGGTGTTGAAAAAAAAAGAGAATAGCATCATCGAGTCACTACAAACAATGTTATTATTAATTCACTACGACCTAAAGTAAACCTTTTAGCTGATTAGTTCAATTCCTCATGCAAAATTCTCAAGCCGCGCACTCTCATATACTTCAAGGTGAAGATACTCCTGCAATTGATCACCACTAAACAACTTAGCCACTAAACCAAAAGGAAACAATCTGTTCAGAGGGAGAGGTTGGAATAAGGGAATTAGTAATCTTCTTACCACTAAATCAAACTGACCTCCTTTGACAAATGCAACAAGCTCTCAAAGCTCCTTCCTAGACATCATGTAGCTAGCATGGTTTTCTAAAATATTCTTAACAGAATTGACAAGGGCACTCTGCTCCTCAAATGAGGAGCTGATTTTTTTTTTGGCTTTTTTTTTTGGAGGGGGAACCTTGTTAGGATGGACATTCACTATGTTTGTACATCTACCTTTTATTCAATGACTGCCTTTGTTGACTAGAACCAAAAAGAAAGCAACCCAAAAATCTAGGACACAATGAATCACTTGATGCACGATCAAATCTGCTACCACATCTTAGCAAGAGCCTCACCTGAGGACCCAAAACAAATAATTAAGGAAAGGTTATAAGTTCTTATATAAAGGACATGCTACTGAGCAACCAATTAAATAATAATACTAGTTTCAGAATGGCACCAGATCTCCAGCAAGCTTTTACAAAGATTCATTAAGGGTGGCCTTAGTTTCAGAACAGTACCAAATCTCCAGCAAGCTTTTACAAAGATTCATCAAGGGTGGCCTGCACATGTTTTGCAATCTTCATCATTGATATGGCTTGAATTGATCAAACGCTAATGAAGACAAAATAAGCAAAACAATTTAGCTCAAACCTATAATAACCTTAAAGCACAGTACTAGCAGGGCCTTCGAGTTCAGCAATCACCCTTTATATTCAAGATGGAATTAATAGATCATATATTCTAAAGATCAGGATTTTCTCTTTGAAGAGAAGGACTTGGACATTAAAGGAACAAAGATATATTAAAAAAGAAGAAACACATAAGCCATAACGATTCCACAGGTTAAGAGTAAAATATATATATATTTACACACACAAATATATAAAGGTAAAGTCATGCTTACGAGTATGTAGCAAGCAGCAGTGCGGCACCATCTACGTTGAAAGCATTCCATAAACAATCTACTTTAAAAGAAGAAAAGAAAATCGTCTATACAGTTAACATACAACAATAAAACAAGCCCTATAGTTTACACTAAGAACTAAGGTAAAATTCAGGTTACTTCATTTAAGAGAAGCAACAAAATAAAAAAAAAATGTTCATGGGGGAGTTGATATATTCCTTTGCATTATCAAATAATAAAATTTTATTCAAGATAGCAGGGATTGTGTCATTCTAATTCTAATTCTAATAGCTGTACATCTAAACCATAGTTGTTTATATGTTAGAAAGTGTGGTCATTGTCAAGCTTCAATTTTCTTCATATCATTTGAAGAAGTAATTTAGAATAATCATAAAAATGACAAGATTATTCCTCACTTTCAGGGTTAGAACCAAATTCGATAGAAATTTATGGGTGATACTGGCAACCAAAACATGTTTAGTTAAGGCTGCAAAGCGGAGCCCAAAATTTATCTTTGCACCTTGCATTAGGCCACTGATAATTAAAGTTTATACAGCGCCTCACTACTCGTGCATTGTTGATTCAAAATATGATGCAAGAAATTCAATAGAAAACCACAGAAACATTTTTCGTTAGGCAGAGAAGATATTGACATAAAACCAAAGGTTGAAACAAAAACGCAATAAAATCAAAGAAAGAATAAATAAAAAGAGCGACAGGTCTTTCTGTCGGAATTGTAAGTTGAAAAGGTACGAAAAAAATATAAGAACTAGGTAGTAGACTGGACTCGAAAAATTTTGTTAGATCAGGGATAGCCAAGATGCTCTGTGCTAGTAGACTTAACTGGTCACTAGGAGAAGAGATCGGGATTGATCTTGGCTCGAAAGTCCAGAGCGAAGAGAACTATTTGTAGCCGTTTGATGATCTCTACCTTCCGCGCCCTCGAGAGTCGGCACATCGATTCAACCGTTGCGATTAGGGTTTTACATCAAAGAGGGGTGGTGCAAATAGGAACTTTTTAAATTCAATTTTTGCCAAACAAAAAATCAAACCAGCCTGGGCTGGCTCGACTCGTTGAGGCCCGCATGTCACAAACTAGTTGGTTTTTAAAGTCCGCTCCTTATGATGGGCCTTCAGGTCTGTGTAAAAGTTTTTGTATTTTTTTAAATATTTTAATATGAATAAAGTAAAATAATAAACTTCATAAATTTCTATCTCAAATTATAAAAACATAAGTTATACAATCATAAAATAATCTCTTGTCAAATATATATAGTTTAAAAATATCAACACATATAATGTAAATCAAATCATTATCTAAAGTCTACATTAATCCATTTTTAAAGTTTAATTGGACTAATTATTGTCCAAAACCAAATAAATCAAGCCATTTTGTGAAATTTGATTTTAAAATGATAATAACAACTACATATTTAAAATATTATTAACAATATAAAAAAATTAATAATATTAGCATTATATAAAAAATTTTATTAAAAAATTATAAAAAGGGCCTAAACAGTGAGCCAACCTTTTTAGGCACAAGAAAAAAAATCTTAAACCCGACCCTCACAATTTTTGAGGCTAAAAAGGCTGACCTGACAGGCTTGACCCATTTTCTCAATTAGAGTCAATGTTATTCATTTATTTGTATTTATTAAGAGCATTAATGCATTAAGCAGAATTCAAAGACTAAAACTTGTTTGGAAAGAAGAATACACATTAAGTAAATGACTTAAGACATTAAGTGAAAACTCAGAGGTAAAAATACAAGTTCTTTTCAATACAGTTTGTGCTCTAATTGACATGGTTAAACGTTAAGGAGAAAAAGACATGAAAAACACTTCAAATGCCACAACAGAGCCTCATGCTAGGCTTAAGTTGTGTGTTAATTGGGAGCTGTTTTCAGTTCAATTATTTCCTTAAGTTCTGTTAATGATAAGTCTCAACTCTCAAGCAAAGGACCAGTGTCAATTTAATTTCCCAATTTTATTTTGTGCGATAAGATTGGTCCAAATCTACTGCTAATGGGAAGAACTTCATTATGAACCTTTTAACAAATAATACAAATATCCAGAGCCATATATTAGAGATGGTGCCTGAAGATCATTCAAAGTAGTTGTGTTTAGCACAACTATATTAGGAGCGTGAGCATCAATATTGGAAATTAAATACTCTATTGGCAGGTTAATATAGGGAGAATCTACACGTTTTGGAACTAATTAATGAGCTACTTCATAACAAGAATTCAATGCAATAATAACCACTTTTCATAACACGACCATATTCAATGATTATGCAGATCAATCAAATCAACATAAACAAGTGCAAACAACTGGAAGAAACTGGCTAAAGACTGGCAAGTGTAGCATTGGTCAACCTCAATGACAATTTCCAACATACAGCAAGATTTAGGATATCAAGTTTCCTCTTAACTTTCTGTTTATGGCAAATACTTTAAGAAAATACGTTTGTGATAATGAAAGGCAAGAAACCATCTGAATAAGTCAGTAACTAATGCCATATGTCATATGCAGCACATCACACAGGTCAATCTAGATAAGCATTCCCTGTACATTTGAAATGCTTAACAAAGATACAAAAATATCTAATTCAAATCTGGAATGCAACTTCATAATGGAGAAAGATGATTATTTGTCTCTAAAATTCTGAAAATAAGCAAGACAAACATCCAAAGCAGGGACAGAGTCTGAAGAAGATTATTCATATTACTTCATGATAGCAAAAAAAAAAAAAAATTAAATCTTTTCATGATATAACCATGCAATGATTATGTGGGTTCCCTATAGCTAACACAGACACGTGAAAATAGCATGAAGAAATTACCAAAAGGCCTTATATTAATTGAGCCTAATGGCAAGTGTAGCATGAGTAAACCTTGGAGATGGTTTCCAACATATGCAAGTTTTTGGGAATAAATCTGCATATCAACCTTCTGTTTATATCATGTACTTTAGATGAATTAATATATGTGTGACAAAAACTAGTGCAATGTATTGGCACTTAACACCATTTTGCTACACATTTAATTATTTCTTCTTTCTTGTTTATCAAATGGAAAACCACGACTGTATTTGGTATGTTTATAGATTTCAAGCGAAGGAAGGAGCATAAAGTTCCTTCCGGCAGTGTGCTATTTTTGCACATTGTGGTGGCATTGATTAGAAGGGAATGCCGGTTTTAGTATGAAGTTTCTTCCTTCAAATCTTCCTTGGGAAATAGTTACTTTTGAAGCTTTCCTTTGGGTTATGATTTCAGCCAATGGTTTATTTGCAGGGTTTCTTTTGAGAATCTCTAAAGGCATTGCCAAACTCTTTTAAGTTGTTCTTTCTTATTCTTTGTCAAGGAGTACAACTTGTCTTTTGTTATTGTTTTGTTAAGGAATATCTGAAGCAAGTCTGTGCGTTAAAGAAGAAGGTAGTGTAAATATATAACATGTAAGTCCAGCAGTGACCATAGAAACATTCAATGTGTGCCAACCCAATAAATGTTTTTGTCTCAAATTGTTTTCAAGAACGGCAGATTGCAAAATTGAAGAAGCTCAGGTTCAACCATCAAGCATGTGAATATACTGACCTGTGACCAAATATTCATTTGTTTGTCAATTACCACGCAAGAAAGTGATAGTAGAGGCTGGCTATTGTCATGAGATCTTACCCTTCAGGCTATTAGGTTGGACTTTGGAAGGATTAAGTGTAAAATATGGGCAAAACTGACGCAATACAAATCACAGAAAAAGAAGGGGCAATGCCAATGGGAATATCTGTCCCATATTAGAGCCATGTGAATTATTTTTTGCTGTAGCTAATAAGCAGCTCTCTTCGTTAAAGATCTTTTCCTACTATTTCCTTGTATTAATTCGCTTTTTTCATGGAGGCTCCAGCTGTGGCTAGAACTAATGGCATACAAACATTTGAAAGAAAGAATTATGCAGGAATCTCAGTCCACTCATCACGGCCTTCCATGCATATTGAGAGTGTTTTTGTCCCTTTTAGCAGCGGCTTTTGTAGGCCCCAGAGAGATTATTTCTCTTCTGATTCCAGAAGCAAAAGCTTGATCTCTATCAGAGGCTCCACAAGAGCAGTTATTGACCGTAGCAACACAACAAGTAAGGACTTGGCTGTTAGCTTGTTCCAAATACAACTTCTCAGCATCAACTAGCTTCCACACAAGATCAAGCTCTTAGAACTGCATTCTCAACGAGCCACCTAGTGTTTGAGTTGGGTTTCGAAGGCTCATGGATGGTCCAGAAGTTGGACCCCCAGCTGTGAAGAGATATCTCATTGGAGACAACGAAGAAAGGGGGTGCATGTGTTACCATGGAATGGCAGTGTCAAGAGACGGTGTTCACTAGACTAGAGGAATTCAAAATGCCAATTCAAGTAAAGATGCGGGCTGCGTGATGAAACCCGGCAACAAATGGTGGGCTTCAGATACAGAAAGAACTAGACCTTCCCAGATGGTTGTCATGTCCAATCAACTTCACAGTTCTATGTACTGGCTTTACTACACAGTATATAGTTCTGAAGAAGTGAGCCTTGCTGGTTCAACAAATCCCATTGTTCAAGACCAAGAAAGAGTATTTTACCCTAAGTCAGAGAATTGGCAAAATTTTCAAGTCCCTTCTAGGTCTGGTCTAGCTTGCAGCAAGAATGGAAGGAGACCATCACAGTGGAGTAGTGCTTGTTGTTGGAACAGGCAATGATTGGAATAGTGAGTCATATTCCTATTGGCAATGATATATAGATTGATCGGGTTCATCTTAGAGCTTTTTATAGAATTCACTCATTTATACATAACAAGTTCAAAAATCAGAAGTAGAAAAAGCTCAGAAACCATCTGAGTAGTTTAATAAATAATATTATGTGGCATATGCTACACATTGTACAGAATCAATCTGGATAACCATTGGCCTGTCATTGCAATTTAGTAGTTGGCATTTTTCTAATTTCCAAAATCAAAGAGGCAAGAAATATGAAAGAGAAATTAGGGTATCATTTCACAAAACAGAACCATGTCCCTGCACTGATGATGCTCAATGCTGCATGTATAAAGGAGCACAACATTTGGTTTCAAAACCTGTTTGGAATGCTGATGGCTGATGATAAGTGAGAGAGATCATTTTTACAAGAACTTCACAGTACCTCGTAGTGTACAGGCAGTACAGCAGGATCTTCAAAATGCGCTGCCTTCATGAAATCCTTCCATTTCTATTGGTGAAACTTAACAACTTCTATGACTTCCATCTTGCTTGAGTATAGATTCTCACTTAACAAGAAATAATCACCCTGAGATTAGCTTACCAAAAAAGTAAACTTTCATTGAAAAAATGTCAAACCTTTTGTGAGAGGGGTCATTTAATTTTCCTTCCCTATAATGTCAAAAATAATATTGAATTTTTGTATGATCCAAATGACAAGAACTCAACCTGTTGATATAGTCTACAGAATAACCCATAACATTCAGTGTGGAAGTAGGCAACTCATATTACATGTTCGATATTTCCGCTTCAATTAGCTGATTTTGCAAAGCTGACACTTTCATGTCTACAATCTATGACACTTCACCTGGCTTCTTTGTAGGTCAAAACCCTTAGAAAATAGCAATTTCTAGAGATGGCAAATTTGCACTCTAATACCATTTCTCCACCAAATCTTAACTATTTACCTATGGTATGCAATGTGACCATGTGGGACTCCATCACCCTACCATTGATATTAGAGGTAAAATCAGAATTATCTTCTCTGTCTGGGGGGAAGGTTTAGAAAGAAGCAATTCTAGAATTGTAATTGAGAACAAAAACTTGGAAAACAAAATAAACATGACATGGATATACAATTTATTTGTCTACACATACAACTTTGTGAGAATGGAAAAAAACCTAACCATCATACACAAAAACATCATAT